TTGCATCGCTGCCTTCAAACGCGTCAATGTTCCAGTTCAACAGTGTGGTCACTGGCTCACACACTACTTGGCTACAAAACTACCTAAAGAAACCTACAACGCCTGGGAGCACCACCGAGGCTGCAAAACAGAAGTGCCCTCGTTTGCCGACTTCGAACAATTTTTGAATGATCGACTAGTGACCATCGACGCTATAGAGAACCGTAACATATTCAGCAACAAGGTTACATCGATTCACCCAGGTACATCCAAACGACTCAACGTTCACAATGTACATGCACAGACAGGTCCCCCTAGCGCGCGCTGCTGTCACTGTGGTGGTAGTCATATTCTTCGACGGTGCCCAGCATTTTTGGCAATGGACTGCCACCAACGCAAGGAAGTTGTAACCAAAGCCAGACTTTGTCTCAATTGCCTGAGCAAAGCTCATATATTAATGCGGTGTACTAGTACAAAAGGATGCCAACAATGTGGACAACGACACCACACATTGCTGCATTATCCGTCCCAACCACAGACCCGTCCAATACAAAATGCTACACTACAAAACACCTCATCACTGGCAATCGAACCAGCACTCAATCTGAACAGCAATTGCGTAAGACAACAAACTAAACATGATAATTCTAATCTACAATGTCTTTCAGCAACCTATTCAAATGCTTCACAACGAAGCATTTTGCTAGCAACGGCACGAGTGATTATCTTCAATCCTGATAACGGTCTGCAAGCTACCCTCAACGCTCTCATAGACCAGGGTTCCGAAGCTACGATAGTCTCCGAACATGTTGTACAATCTCTACATCTAACACGCACCTCCATTGCTGGTGTCGGCCAAGGTAATACAAATCGGTGCAAGCATATTGTCAACTTCGTTCTGCTTACCAGTTCCAATCCGGAATTTCGTATAGATGTCGAAACAGCATATGTTTTAAATTCTTTGACATCTTTTTTTGCCAAGTCACAACATTTCTGTCACACGGTGGAAACATATCGAAGGGCTGTCGTTGGCAGACCCCCAGTACTACCGGCCAAAGCGGGTAGATTTGATAATAGGCGTTGACCTAATGGCACAAATCATATTGCCAGGCATAAAGGTGGGAGCGCCAAACGAACCAATTGCTCAAAACACTCAACTAGGCTGGATCTTGTCCGGCAGGACACAGCCCCCACGTGAAGCAACTCATGTCGTATGCCATCAAGCAGTTTTGGACACTGAATCACTGTTAAAGCAATTCTGCGAGGTTGAATCTGTTCCGGAACGCCGACTAAACACAGCTGAGGACGTTTGGTGTGAAACATTTTTTCAGCAAACGCACAAAAGACAACCAACGGGCAGATACATGGTTCGACTGCCATTAAAAACAATTTTCGACCCCTCGATGACCTTAGGTAAATCGCACCAAATAGCACTAAACCGCTATCTCCAACTAGAACGCCGTTTAACCAAAACTCCCGAGGCTTGGCAACGTTACAGTGATGGTATAAAAGAATATTTCAAACTTAACCAACTCGCACCTGCAACAACTAGCGAGAGGCAATCTACTACGGTAAGTGACTCGCAACATCACTGTTCTTCTTGTGTATTGCCACATCACGCAGTCTACAAAGAAGAGAGTCTCTCAACCAAACTGCGTATAGTTTTTGATGCCTCGGCGAATACCAGCAATGGAAGATCCCTTAATGATATATTATGTGTTGGTCCCACCTTACAAAACGACATGTCAGCGGTTATATTAAATTGGCGCCAATATCGGTATGCTTTCACCGCGGACATACAAAGGATGTACCGATGTATTGACGTTCATCCAGAAGACTCGGAATACCAGCGGATTTGATGGCGGGCGGCGGATGGGCTCATCAGTGAATATCGGCTCACCACGGTTACTTTTGATACAGCTTCAGCACCATACACCGCCATCAGAATTATGCACCAAATTGCCGAAGATGAACGTCTCAGGTATCCTGCTGCAGAAAACGTCCTTAAGCATGAAATGTATGTTGACGACATACTTTCTGGAGATCACACCTTTGAAAGAGCTGAGCAAAAACGACTGCATGTCACCGAAGCTCTAAAATCCGCTTGTATGGAACTGCGAAAATGGTCTAGTAACCACGCACTGTTGCTAACAACAATTCCTCTGGAGCATCAATGTAAACTAACACCTTTGAATTGGGGCACCGGCGACGCAGTCAAAACGCTTGGGATGTATTGGCTTCCTAACCAGGACTTCCTCAAGTATAAAATTCCCTCTTTCGTTCACACAGGTTCAACCAAACGAATTATTTTATCCAACATTGCGCGGTTGTTCGATCCGCTGGGATTAATCGCACCCATAATAATATCCGCAAAGATCATTCTGAAGCAGGTAACTATGGCAAAACACCTTAACGAAAATTGTTCATTGGCACCTTTAGATTGGGATGACCCAGTTCCTGAGTCAACAGCACAACGATGGCAAGAATTTTGTAACACCATGTTCGATATCGATGACATCGTCATCCAACGTTGGCTCCGATTTAATCCAAGAACCAACAGCGTGCAGTTACATGCCTTTTGCGACGGCTCATCAGAAGCATACGCAGTAGCAGTGTACATTCGAATTGAGCAACCAGATGGCATGTCACACACCGCGCTTATCACCGCCAAATCCAAAATATCGCCCACGAAACCATTGACAATACCTCGCACTGAATTATGTGGTGCAGTACTGGCCATCAAGCTTATGAAATGGGTAGTGGCGAATCAACGCTGGACCGCTGAAACAATATCCAGTTTCTACTGGACTGATGCAACGATCGTCTTACACTGGATAAGCGGCGATGTGAATAGATGGAAAACCTTCTTGTCCAATCGGGTAGCATACATTTTGGAACACTCCACTCCAAGCCAATGGAGTCACGTGAGTACTCGGGAAAACCCTGCAGATTGCGCCACACGAGGGCTGTCGCCTGCAGAACTTGCGAAATTTAAGTTGTGGTGGCATGGCCCAAATTGGCTAGCTCATTCTCTGACCGAATGGCCTTCAAGAAAGATTGGAGATTGCGATATCGACGCAGTTATGACAGAAGCAAAGCCCTGCAAGATTACAGTTAACTTAACCTCATCATATGATTCACTGATCAATCGATTTTCCTCCTACACTAAACTACTCCGTGTAACCGCTTATTTGCTACGCTTTTGCAACAACGCACGTGGCAAATCGCAAAGGTTAACTGGTTTCCTATCAACAGAAGAAATACAAAGGGGCATGCACTGCATCGTTCGCATTGTTCAACTTGAAACTTTCGCTGCTGAAATAAAAGAAATTCGCGCATCAAAGTCCGTGCCACATAGAAGCAAGTTGTCTAACTTATCACCAATCATGCAAGATGACATCTTGCGCATCCGCGGGCGTCTTCGCCATTCAAAACTACCGTTCAATCGACGGTGTCCTATCATTCTACCGAATGGCCATTTCTTCACAGAGCTAGTAATCAAACACTCCCACCACACAACCCTGCATGGTGGAGCGCAGCTTACCTTAGCTCATACCCGATATCAATTTTGGATAATAAACGGAAGGCAAGCAGTACGTCGCATCATACAAAAAATGCGTTCGCTGTTTCCGCACCCAACCGACAACAAGCGCTCAA